GGCGTATTTTACAGAGAACCAGGGGAGGCAGACGACCCCCCCCCCCCCACCTGACAAGTTTCTAAGGTCATTCAATCGAATCACTAACCCTCCCTCGCTCAAATGTTGATGTCGAAATGGAGTAGGCCTGCAGGCAGCTGCTGTTCCCGCTTGTCGACCTGTCATCTGTGTCTTCTCATCTTCCTTTCCCCTTGTTTTTTCCCTCTCCGTCATCCATCACGAGGATCGGTGCGTCTTCATTAAACGTGATGCTTCGCACGGAATTAAGATGAGATTCCAAGAACTTTGATGAAATTCCGCGCAGTTGATTAAACGCGGTGAAAAAAGGGGGGAAATATCTAATTATTACGAACCACCCTCGGGAAGTTAATTACAAATCCCATGTCAAGAGCGTGGAACACAATAGGAAGGGCGATGCGTATGATTATGGGGGTATTGTGCGGAGGAAAAGTCGGCACCCCGGTCATATTACATTCCAAACTCATTTCCCCTTCGACTAACTTTTCTATCAGATTACTGCCGGCGTCACATGCCAAGTCAATTTCAAGCTGAAGATTGAATCGTTTGACGAATGGCCGCCCGTAGGGCTTATCCGAAAGAAACTTTTTCTCTACGCTATCTTTGAGAAACTTCATTCCTTTAAGTTACAGTTTCTCCTATTTTCCAAGCTCTCAGTGTTGTGTGGATGTATCAGGACCCTAATAAAACCGTATTTTTTACCCCCCTTCTTATCATTTCGGTGTCAGTCGGAAAGCTGGAGAAAGAGTTCAATGGCATCTCTCATGCGTGAGAGAAACTTGCACACTTTTTTTGCCAACGCTTTTTTTTTTCACACTTGTCACTCGAAGATCGACCTGCCCTCATTCAGGAGGTTCTCCCTCTATGGTACAAAGGACGGAGAGCCGAATAGAGAACACTTGAAATTTTCGTGAAAGAACTTTCATTCCTTCTTTATTCGTCCCCTTTTAAGGATGTTCCTTTCTCGGAACTTCTCCCTTTAAATGAGGAACTTTAAGCAGGATTCTCGGAAAGCCTGCCGCTTCCTCGATTCCTGGATCCTCTGGGAGACCCCAATAATGATACATATTTGATTCACGATACCCGAAGAGACCGAGGGGGTGCGGTCCGCACTGGGAAACTGCTTCCCGAGCGGTGCCATGTGACTTCGCACCGCTCCGTCGCGGGACTTCCTGTGGGAACCGGGACGAAGGAAAGGACAGCGAAAGGACTGGCAGCCGTGACCCCACGACGTGGGATCCAACGAACGGAAGGCGAAGGACGGACCCATTCGAGGCACCTGCGATCTGCCACCCGTATCGATCCAGGAACTCCTATCATAAATGAATGCCAAAGGAACATCGATGTGCTTCTCCCTCTTTCGAGTACTTCCCTTTAATATTTTAAGTATCTGCAAGTCTGATGAGGTCACTCGAAAGTTTGAAAAAAAAAACGAGTCGAGTAGAGTTTCCTCATCTCGGGTTGGGAGCAAGATGGTGGAAAGTGACGCGAATGGGAATATAGTTCACGGTTTCTCGCGAGTAAGTGAATCTCATCTTCTCGGGTTCTCGAACTGCGACGAGAGCCAGGAGCGTCGCGACGTCCCACGAACAGAAAGAGCCAACGAGCGATGGAATCATCCAGGTTCACCGTCACCGAACATCGAGGTGACACGAGAATCCGGGAAGGCTACGGTTTGGGTTTTTTCGGGACATAACCGAGGGGGAGGGAGGGGATCCACTTTGAGTTTACCAAACGTGATGACCCTGCTAATTAGGAAAATGACTCCCAATGACTGCAGGACCGAATCGACCCGGCCATTAATAAGCGATGACCTGGTCGAATCTCTCGTGGAGTGCTGCTGCTGCACCCATACGTGGCTCGCCGAAACCATCGATACCGCCGCCAAATGGATACGGGAGACTCTCGCGCACCGACTCGACGGCTCGGGTCGAAACCACCCGGGGATTTTCATTCGTTCCTGCCGTGCGAGGATCGTTTTGCCGGCTCGCTTTCCGGAAACGCCCGAAACGCATCTATGATCTCTGCCTCCGGTATCCACTCGGCATCGTCGGGACGCGAGCGAGAGCCCGAGAGGGATCGTACCTTCAGAAACACGGCTCGTTTCCGCAGATGCGAATCGACTTCTCGCGTGCCGCGAAGAAGAGGCCGACGAAGACGTCGATGGATCCTCTCGCACGTTCGAGGAAACGGGCGAAAAAATGTTGCCACCTTTTTTTTCGCTCGGGAGCCATCGCGTTCCCTCGTCCCCTCATTCGTCGGGTGGGTTCCCCGTGTTCCCAGGGTTCCGGGTTCCCTGGGTTCCCTGGCAACGCTTCGATTTCCGGAAGGCCCCTCGACGCCTCGGTCACGATATTCCACAATAGATAGAGACGGAGAACAGTAACGACGAGCAACAAACACCGGGGAAACGTCAAGAGGATTAATGGAAGTTCTACTATGAAATATTAAAGCCCCTACGTGTTGCCCTTCGCACGACTCTCGACGAACAGGCGTTCGCGAGTTCAGGCGTGACGTCACCGTTCGGTCGCGAGGCGGTGGCGAGGCGGTGACGAGGCGGTGGCGAGGCGGTGCGACACCGTCTCCTCGTCTGGTACCGTGTCGCCTCCGTTTCCTTTGAAAGAAAGACATCACTTTGACGATTTCGCGATACGAAAGGAACGAAAGCGGCACGATTCCGGAAACGTGGAAGGAAAAGACGGAAACTCGGCTTCCAGAGGTCACGACGAAAACCGGATCGATCCGAGATGGAACCACTTTAAAGGAGACGAGAATTCATTCGATTAATTCTCGTCTCGAGGATCGTCGAGACGAGGCTCAGAAAGGAAAAAATAAAAAATTTTTCCGACGAACATTTCGCTCGGCAAAGCGACGTGTCGTTTTCGAGCCGAACCGATCCCTGTCGAGTTCCCGCTTAGACAGGACCGAAAGTACGGGATCGTCGGCAAGGGGAAGTACCGTGGAAGTACCGAGGAAGTACCTCGACCTTCCGGTTCCTGATGGTGCCCGAGAGGAAAGAGCTCGTCTTCGCTCCGACGCAGCTTCTGCAATCGCTATGCGATAAATAAATAAAAGTTGTGGGACTCCATTTCCCGCATAAAGAGTTGGACTCGTTTCGGTCGAACGGTCGCTTCGTTGCGACGAGTAATCTCCCTCGAATTGGACGCATTGGACCAAACGATCCGACATCTTTTTATTGGGCCTTTCTTCTCGGATGACCTCGAACCTCGAACGGTTCGAGGTCATCCGGCCACTCCTGCTTTCGCTTTTTATGGCCCGTGAGGGTATCCCGCGGGGAGCTCGTCCTTCACGGCCGGATGCAGACCGGATGCAGGCGGGAAACCGTCTGGAAGTCACGTGGACTCCGGATCTGGGATTCGGCTAAGTTTTCCGTTTTTCTCGGGGAATCGCTCGAGACGCCGACCGAAAGAGTGGGGGTCTTCATCACTGTTCAGGAAAAACCGGGATTGGGAGTTTTTTGCTTCGCACCCTGTGGGGGGGGGGGGGGGGGGGGGGGGGGGGGGAGGGGGGGGGGAGGGGGGGGGAGGGGGGATTTCTTCGAGCAGTGGAGCAATTGTTTAGCCGAAGTGGACCTTTCCCTTCGAGTGGCCGATGGAGTGGCACGACTTCATCATCTCCTCGTTAAAGGACCGAATGACCTGGAGCGATCGACCGTTCGTCCCGTACTCCTGCAGTACCACCCGGGCTCTCCACGAAGCACACGGTCTTACGCCTCACGTACGCGTCTCCGGCGTGCTCCCGATGCCTCCCGAGGATCCGATCTCGAGCGTTTCGCCCTTCACTCGAGCCGAATCTCTTTCGTGGCCGAATCAGAGACTCCACGAACTCTCTTTTCCGATGCCTTGGCACGGACTTCGGGTCGGCCGAGGAAAGAGATCGGTGCATTCTCTCGGGTCTTCCTTCTTCGAGGGAGTGAACCACCATTTCGGCTTTTCGGCTCATGGCTACTTTCCTCGGTTCCCAAGAGATTTCACGTACCCCATGGAGGCACGGATACCCATCTGTATCCATCTGTCCCCATCTGTGGCCATCGCTTTTCGTGCCTCTGCCCGGATTTCATCCAGAGAACACTCATCGCCGGTCGCCCTTGCCGATTCGTCACGATGTTTCCTCGTCACGAAGGACTCTCATTGTCATCGAGACGAGTGGACGAGAATAGCTTTCCTCGACATTAATTCATCTTTCGGAATATATTTGAGCATGAATCATTCGCCTAATTTTGATCGATGTACCGTTGCACTCCTCCGCCTCGAACGTTTTGTTTTTGGGGTCTCGGGTACCCATTTAATAGAGGACGAACCGAAATGCATTTAACCTATCGTACAAGACGCACTAATGCACCTATTGTACCGATTCGCCAATCGTGCGGAATGGTTGTTTGTCGGGAGCTTCCCATCCGCCCTGAGCCCTGCAGCCCCCGTCGTGCATCCGCCACCCGTCCGACACCGAAGGAACTGAGGATGCTACCGACCGTCGGCAGATGCCGCCCTGTACCTTCCTTCGTGTAATTCACCGCGAAGCGAATTCGTCGCACGACTCACGAAGTACAAAGAGCCGTTAACACCCACGAACCGCGGGGATTGGCGTCTTTTGCGCGAGTTATGGGTTCGGTACGACTCGTACCGGGTGGCATCCTTTGACATCGCCTCGAGGCAGTGCACGGCCAGAGTAAAAACGGCGGTGATGATAGTCTCATGTTGCCCTCTCCCTCCTCCGATGCGAGAAGTCCAGGGTACGAGACGCTTTCCCCGGACGTTTCCCCCACCACGACCCCAGTCGGCTTTCAGTCTCCGAGCAGGCGTCTTGCTAATCGTGTCCCTGTCGCCTTCCAAAGTCTAGAGATCCGTCGCCTGGCGATAAAATGGGCCATTCTCATCGTTTCTACCGTCTTCACTGTTCCCAGATCGACAGGCAAAAGCGACCCCGAGTCCTGGGGAATTGCGACAGAGTCGACGCTTTCGGGTCCAGTCGAGGCCGAGGCCAGTCGAAGTCGAAGCGGAGACAGGCCGAAGACTGTCTTCTGGGATTGCTGCCAACGGATGTCCGTATGCCGATGGAGGAGACTCGGATTCAAATATTTATTTATCTATGCCCCGTTTCATTCTACCTTCCCGACACCGACGACTCATTCGAGTGCGAATGAGCTACGAGAGTCAAGTCAAGTCAAGAGTCAAGAGAGTGACATCAAGAGGCGATTTCGCCCATCACACGCATATCACGTGTCGAGGTCGAGCGTTCCTTAATTTTAGGGTAGGAACTGAACTGTGTCTCTTACCTCGAAAATTGCGCAGTAGAAGTGACAGTGTAGGGATCACTAGAATGAAAACTCTGAGCATAGCAACATGGAAGCCTACACAGGTATAGCCACTGTCATTATCTTTCCTTTAATTATCTTGAAAGCCTGGATGAGATCGCCCCTCCTTAACCTTCGTTCGAGCGAGTACAGTCCCAGTGGGGCAGGGATTTTCATTTCCTGGTCAGATTTTGGGTTCGCAGCTTCCTTTGGATAGGGGAAAAGGGGAAAGAACGAAATATGCAATAAGTCCTCGAGATTAGAGACGTCACGATGTGTAGATATCGATATCGATTTGATATTAAAGGTTTCGATAAACTTCTGCCATCCGATATTTTGCTCTGCGATATTCGATCTTTATGTGAGTTTGATGCAAGATGCCAGCACACACCGGCCGTTCCGCAAGCCCATCCATTCAAGAGCAAGTTGGGAGACGTGCGAACGGAAAACTCTCAGAAAATACTCGTTTTCTTGAAAATATCCTCGGCGCTCACGTTGTAGCTGCCCACCTGTTGCTAACTTCAAGGAAACAGTGAATCGAAAAAAGGGTAGCATGATACCCGTAAAAAATTGATTCAGATAATAAATCAATAAGATCTCGTCAAGAACCATGGAGTGAGATAATCTGTCAAAGACAGCTCTGGATCTGTCCTTTTGGAAACGAGGGGGAACGGAACCTATATCCCTCTCCGTGAATCACGTAGCAGAAATTCACGTTGGCCTGTGCAGGAAGAGAACCCGAAGTAGAGGAAGGCTGGACACAATGACGCCAATTCCTTCTTACCTGGTGCTCATGCTATCGATACACGCGATCAGCTGTTCACGTTCAAACTATAAAGGGCGTTTCACTGTTTACGTGCCATGCTTTCTTTGCGTGTATGCTTGGACAGGTAGGCAGACGCAAGTGTGTCCCCTAACTTCACGAAACGCTAGGTTTGCGTTTTCCATCTCGCTCATCCCAATCCCACACTCAAACCCTGCGTTTCGTGAAAACCTTTGAATACAAGTGGACGCGCGTGTGTACGCGTGCGTCTGCCTACCTGCCCCAGCATCCACGCAAAGGACGCATGACACGCAAGTGTGAAACGACCTTTACCGTGTCATGCGTCAATGCTTTGGCAGGTTGGTCGACGCACGAGTGCACATGCATGTCCACTTGAATTAACCCTTTGAGGCGAGGTGGTTACACCGTGTAACCACCTTTATTTTACATTATTTTCTCCCTGCCCTAGGAACGGTGATTTCAAGGCGAAACCACTTGTAATGGCTGACCACAGATCTAGGGGTATAATTCGAAACTTTGAAATCACTTTGTTGGAATTGGCAGGTTCTATGAAAGAAAAATTATGACATCAGAAATTGTAAATTCGTGGCTCAAAGGGTTAAAGGGTTTTCACAAATCGCAAGGTTTGCGCGTGGAATTGGGATGAGCTCAAGTCAGTCACACTTTACATCGCCAGATAGTATGCTCATGTACTGTATATCAGATATAGTAACGAGACAAGGGCAGATGAGATCTAAATCTGATCCTGTAGCGTTTTGGGAGTTCGTGTTTGCAGCCAACTTTTTTTCAACGAAATGGACTCTTGACGCCCTATTAGGTCGTCTATGCTCGATTCGACCTTCCCAATGTTGTCTCTTGGTACAGACACGCGAAGATCCATTCTTTCGTAAATGGTCCCCCCAGGAATTTCCTTCAGAGGACAGATGACGCCATTGTACGGTTTTCCGGTCGTTTTCGGGAATGCAGAGCATCCCCTGGAACACCGTCTCGCTCGAGTATTGCCCGCCCTCACACGCGGGGCCATTTCTCACCTGGAAGAACTAAGGCGAAACACTTCCTTCTGTTCAGCAACCTCTATGTCACTGCGTCCCACGGGATCTCGGATGTCTTCAGACCGAATGTCGACCTCGTCCCATCTCATCTCTCACCAGAACCACTCTCATCTCGGGGTTATCTCATTACGAATTCCATACCTGTTCGTCTTCTGACGATCTTCATGACGGATTGGGTACAACGTCCTGCTATTTATTATTTCTGCTGTTTATTTATTATTAGTTTATTAATTCCAAATGTTTCCTAATTCTCAATTTCATTCTAGATCTTCTTTCGTTCCTCTTGCGAATAAATATCTTCAGTCGTTCGTGGGGAGACGTACGTTTTTTGCTCGTTCGTGGAGACAGTCTGACGGCCGTCAAGGACATTGAACTTGAAGACAGCAGAAGGGGTAAGTCTTGTTGGGATCCGATACGAGAGAGCAGTTCTCGGGAGCGTGCACGATATCGCATCTAAATTAGCCAAAAATCACATGCAACTTGCATGCTGTTTTAAGAACCGGTTTGCGCGGTGGGGTGCTCACCCTCTGTATTGGACACTGGCTTCCCAGATGCCCTGCTCGTTTTCGCCGATGAGGCATGCGGCCTGGAAGCAGCCATTTTCCCCGAATCTCACTTCGTTCTGGTTCATGTCTCCCATCTTCTCAGAGTGACACGTTTGTGGATGGTCTGGGGAGAGACACACGATAATATGACGTGAAAAAAAAATGAGAAAGACGGAATGTCACGAGGATGTCTGCTAAAAGTCACGTGCTCGACTCTTGGAAATTTTTACATACCGGAGTCGAAGCCGAGTAGTTCGATTTCGAGCCAGGCCGAGACGGAAGACAGGAGGCAGACGACCAGCAGAGACGAAAAAGCGCTTTTCATTGCGGTCGCGAAGGAAAGACTTCCGTGGAATCCGAGACTCACCGACCCGAGTCGAAGGGCCGAAGGGACTGGGGAGATCGGAGTCCCGAGCCGCACGGACACGAGCGAGAATTCATTCCGGGAAATAGAAGTCGTCTCCTTGTCCGACTTCTCTGGAGGACATGCATCCTACACGGCCGGAAGAAAGGTCAGGAGTGCGCCTGGAAAATGACGGTGGTACGCCTTGCACATTCCATTGCGTTGGCACGTGATGGTGGGTCTATGGGTATGCTTGAATCGAGAGATGGTTTGGAGTTTGGCATTTCACACCGTCCATCGCTGGCCTTCACGTGATAAATAAAACTGTCACGTATTCATTTCTCGGAGCGATAAGATACAAAACGATAGCGATAATCTCAAACGTATGTGTACGGTGCTAAAGATCTCTTTTAGGGAACTTTTTTTTCCCCTAAATAGATATTGATAGTCCTAGCACAGCTCGAAGGTAATTGGAGTATATAAGGTCAAGCTGCGGAGGAAAATTTGGCCTGAACAAGATTAAAAGATCCAGTGTGTGCCGTAGAGATATCAACCACAGTGAATCCCATTCGACATAATTGAGTCCATTTCCCCCATTCCATCTATTGTGCTTTCCTCCTGGCTTATTTCTCGCAGAGCGATTTTCGTTTAATGCTGACCTCGCCAACCGGAAGGCGCGAAGGCAAGAGCGAAATTCGCCGTCTGCTTTTCGATCGTATGAAAAATGTTGAGACTCGGTCCAATCTGAAGATGCTCTACCGACCCGTTCGGTCCTGTCTGATTCTGGGTCTGTCTCTGCCGCTTGTGGGCAATAACGTGGATTGAATTTAGCAGCAATGATGGCATCCAAATAATGAAAGTCTTTCGCCCGAGAGCAGAGGCAACCGGAAATCCATATTTTCCCTACCGAGACGAAACAAGGGGCACTTGGGCCCCGAAATACCGAGTATCGCACTTACGGAAACAGGAACTCCAGGGTCGGGACGTTTCGTAGAAATCCGATTCACCGAAAGGTCCGTTTAGTAGACGAGTCGCTTCGCCGAATAACCGGTTTTAGCCAGGGGGGTCGTTTCGTAGAAAGTCCTATGCTAGACAGGACTCGGTAGCACCGGCCGAGCTGAAGGTCTTTCAACCATCAAGGCTGAAAGTGATCACTCTCAGAAACGAGTTCAGCGACGGTGCCATTTGTGATTTCGGTGATGGAAGTCACTAATGAAGTTAGTGACTTCGAGGCCAGTATCAATCAAAGGGTGTGTTGGAGCTGCATTCGTGAGTCGGCCATCTAAATATCAGGATCGTGCCCCGACAAAGAATAACTTGCAGGAACCAGCGGCGGTCAGCCGAAGGAAGCCGCTATGAAAGGAGCTAAACCTCACCTCGCCTAAGAGCAGCTCGGTGCCGGGTGTGCAGCTGCTCCACGGCGCAAACCCAAGGACGTTCAACGAGACAGACGGTTCCTGACGGCCGATCGGGATTTCCACGATGGGAACTGGGTCACTTTCTACAAGGAATCGCTCAAATGTGAAACTTTAAAGACCAGTCGGGAAATTTCGCTTCACTTCACCTTTAAAAGCGATATTGGCAAAGGTTTAAAATAATAGGGTTTCCTGGTGCCAGGCTTTTGTTTCACAAAAAGAGCACTTGGTATACTTATTTTTTGTTATGCGAAACGGTTCTATTTCTCGGAAACAGTCGATCGGCGAACAGGTTTCGCCTGTGAAAGGATTTTCTGTGAAACGCCCCAAGTCCTGAACTCCGGAGACAGAAGGCCAAAAAAATTGGAAGTTTAGAGTTAGAGAGCTCCAACTACCTGAATGAGATAGAAGTTGCGAAAAAAATTCCCAAATTGGTAATTGAGATGGCCTGAGAAACTCCCATTTTGATCGAGTTAGGCCATCCCTCCGTAACACATTTGGATTACATTTGAATTAACTTGGAGTATGAAACCTTTTGGGTTCATGCCCCCATCCAGTTCTATCTCACAACAGCGAAATTGAAAATCCCACGTAACTCTGTGTACTTGTAATTTAAATCTAAAGCATGAAAAAAAAGTGACGGAACAGTGAAATTATTATTCAGGGTGAATGGCGGAAAGTCCTCTTTGGGATTCCCTGGATGAGCGTGTTTCAACCGGCAGTTCTTTTCAAACTCAGCCCTTTAAATTATTTTCACAATATTCTCAATGCATGAACACGAGTTAAATTATACAATATTTGCTCGAAAATGTAGGAAAATGTTAATTAATTTTTAAATATTTCAAAACAGATTGCGAACCTCCCCATAGGAGGAGCGGTCCTTCCCCCCGCCATGGATCTCCCCATCGAGGTGTATAGTGTTGCCCTAGAACTACCTCGGCTCGTGAAAAGCTTCACGTTGAGGGGGGGGGTCCTTCCCCCCCCCCCCCCCCCCTTTCCTTGTATCCGCCACTGATGAACATGTTTGAACTAGTCCAGACCAATCATAGATAAGTGGGCGTTGAAAGATAAGGGATTTGCGTCCCAATTCCCCTGTGACTCACTTGCCACCTCCCAGTGACCACTTTACGATCCCACCTTCCTGGGGGTTGCGACTCGCAGTTTGAGAACGGCCGAGCTATATCAATCTGCCTTCTGTGGGACTTCACCCACTTTCATAGGTACTAGTGGATTTGAGAATTAATGCGAAGCAGGCTACATCCTGGAGTCTACTAATTCACTCGTCGAAAAGGGTAGACAATACCTTTAACTACAAGCTTTACAATATCAAATCATTTAACAGACCGAGCAATTTACATGTAGTGGAGCTAAAACTTGTATGACAACGTGAAGCTTTTCACGAGCCGAGGTAGTTCTAGGGCAACACTATACACCTCGATGGGGAGATCCATGGCGGGGGGAACCACGAGGGAACCCAGCATTGTGCTGATATTACGTGAGCTTCGAGCGAGTCTGCTAGTGGCCGACGGGATTCCTTTCGCAACCGATACTAATGGATAAGCTGGAGCTGGAATAGTATTTCATGTAACGTTTATCACAACTTGTAAATTGGGCCTTGGGGCCCTAGCCCTATGTATGTCTTCGCAACTCACGGAAAGGATCGTAGTCTTAATTGACATGGACTGTTTTTACGTGCAAGTAGAAGAAAGATTTCAGCCTGAGGTTAAAGGCACCCCTGCTGCCGTTGTCCAGTACAAGGATTTCAGAGGAGGCTCGTGAGTTGTCCAAATATTGCTACAGCTTTGTTCATTAGTAACTTAGACCAAACTTAAATACTAGGCCTTTGTATGTATATAGAGAAGACCCTAGTCAACTTTAACCCTTAAACAGGTGAGTTTTACTGAGCCAGTGTGTTCGCCCAATGTTTTGTATTTGGCGAAGTGACATCTTGTATTTATTTGAAACTCACATTTATCTGAGTTATTCCAGAAAATATTTACCTGAAGTTTGCTAACGATATACCAGGAACGCCCAAAACCTCGAAACCGAAATGTCAGTGGTTACTCTGGCAGACCCACCTAAGGCACAACTGATATTTCAATGCATACCTGTGAAAGGGTTAAGTAACATGTTTAGGCATAAATGACTGAGATCCTAGCTCTTAAGATAAACATCTTGGAAGAAAGCATTTTATTGACCTGCTTGTGGCATATGAAAGGAATGGCTGAGGTATGAAAGTCTAGCATTAGCCTATGGTTGGTGCAGGCACATAACCAGGTAATTTATTGGCTCATATGTATAACTTAAGCCATGGTGCCCTGAGTACTATCACCTAGGCAGGAACCTTTAGCACGTGGGTATTGATGCACCACTCTAAAAATCCAACTCAGCATTCATTCCTGGGTTTGAAAGGTTTTGGGTAGATTCATTTAGTACAGTTTCCATCTATTGAGTCAACATACCATCAAGTTAGCTGTCATTCAAGCTATTAACATCACATAATATCTTATGGAATTCTGGGTATTATAAATAATTTCCTAGCAACACCATATAATGTGCTTGAATGGGCAGAGGCAGCAGACAAATGAGAGGTGAAACCCCATTTGTAGAGAGGGGGAAGAGTAGAGACAAGGGAAAGTAAGTGTAAGCAGAATGATGGAACTTGGCTTTCAGTCTTTTACTTAGAGAGAGGCCACCTAAGGCTAGTTGAGGTGTATCTGTTATTCCTGAAAAAGCTTCCTTCATAAATCTTACTCATTTAAAATAGCTCCTCTACTTGAGTGTGGGTGCATAAGCAGTAATCAAGAAGTGTTACTATGGCCTCTGCTGTCAATGTATGCATTTCATCTGCTGGACAGCATTGCCCTAAGCCAGGAATCAGGAAGCTATGGCTCATGAGCCAAAAAGTTTGGTTCATTGAGTCATGGCTGAAAATCATGGTTGTTTCTTCATTTTTCTCATGTAGCAAGGAATGCTTATGTCTGTTGCTAACTTCAAGAAAAATCACATTCTAAAACTCTTTCACTCACTAGCACTTCACACAAGAAACTTAATCTTAACCATTAAACGACCAAGCTGGGTCAAATTTGATGTAGAGCTTGATGTAACATGTGGAACTTTGATGCTTGGTAGTTTAAGTGTTAATATGGCTCACATGGCCAAAAAGGTTTCCAATCCCTACCCTAAGTTATTTCTGCATCCCTACCATGAATGGAAACTGATTGATTGGATGTGAGGTTTCTCTATTATGAGCTGACATCAAATTATATCCCCATATAAAAAGTAAATACATGATTTTGTGTAATATAATATATAGGATTGTACATTGTCTGAAAAAGAAAAGGTAACTGAAATATTTAAGAAGACACCTAGGTTTTTTCAAGTTGTTTTTAGCTCTTCCATGTTTTACATATGTGCTTTATAAATATAATTGTTTTTAATCATTATAGTTTTTATATTAAATGAAGAGGTGCACTGAAATGTGCTACATGTCCACCATTCCTCTATAAGCACAACTTTGTTTGCTGGATAATAAATGCTATACTACATTTTGGTTACTTCCTTTTGGATCACCCTGTATGGTTTATAAAAGTTATAGTACATTCAGAGTATCTTATTGAAGCAATCAAGTGGTTGTTTCAATAAGGAGATGGCATTAAGCCTGAGCACACTAAGGGATACTGTGAACAACTCTTGAAACCCTGACCCTCCCTCTGTAAGCCCTCATGCTACAAGAAATAAGCATTCTGGGAAATATCCTGGGAAAGTCTGCATCCTTGAAAATCATGCCTTATATCTTAGTCCATTGGTAAGAGATGAGTGGAGGAAAGGAGGTTGTGGTTGCCTTAAGACAGCCAAAGGAATTAGCATTGATAAGTCAGACAATTCATGTTTACCTTCTTGTGAAATGCAGCAGCTAAGCCATAAAGTAAGATCAGAGGAAGTGATTGAACTATGCATTGGGAGCACTTGATGGTGTTATGTAAGAACATCTGTAATCAGTCCACTGATATGCAATATCTAGGAACTCCCATAATGGAAAACATGTCATCTTCACTTTGCTGGCCTAGGTCAGTAGTCCCTGCAAGCCCAGGAATTCGTATGGCAAAATATACCATAAAAGTGCTAGTAACATTGCTGGCTTACATGTTTCATGTATTTGCATCATGGTTAACCTTGTCTCATGTGGTAATGTATGCCAGCTGTCATTTAGGATAATATCTAAATGATTGTATGCAATTCTGCATGAAACAGACTGAAAATATAAGATATGGATCATGTTATACATTAGTGTTATGTAGCATTGAATAAGTCCTAAGTTGTTTAGGATATATAATTAATATGTATGAAACAAGTATGGAGAACATATACCCATGACATATTAGTTAAAAAAAACTTCATGAAAAGCTTATTCTTCTCAGTGCTTGCTGACTTTTCAAGCACTTTGATATTGTTCAAGGGTGTAAGCTATATACCTAGAGTCAGGGCCACCCAGAGGTTTCCAGGGGCCTAGGGCAAAACTAAACCAGAGACCCCTTGGGGGCCCCCTTGATACAAGGGGCCCAGGGCCGATTACCCCAATTGCCCCCCCCCCCCTGGGCAGCCCTGCCTAGAGTGGAACTTGTCATAAAATCCTTGAACCAAGTCTCACTTATTGTCTCTTTTACTTAATAGAATCATTGCAGTCAACTATGAAGCCAGAGCCAAAGGAGTCACACGGATGATGATGGGAGATGATGCCAAGGCCAAGTGCCCCGAGATCCATTTATTTCGTGTTCCAGAACTTAGAGGAAAAGCTGATCTCACCAAGTATGGCACTTTGAGCATATCATATTTTTGTCATTTCAACATTATAAGTTAGGTCAAATTCATGTAGAATGTGAGTTATGAAGTGTCTAATTGAGAGTAAAGTGAGTAAAATAAAATGCTTTAGTATGTAACTCATTTTCTTACATGTAATAGATGAGAGTCCCTTCTTTAACCCATTCCAGTAAAGTGGTTTTTCTGTAAAATCACCACTCCAATGTTTTTTTTATTTTTATTTATATCATGGTGGTCTCAAGATGAAACCACCTATGAAGTAGTGGTGCCCTCTCTTCTCAACTGATCTCAACTGATGATATGACTCTTGTTATCACATTCTTCATGTCAGGGTTTGTCTTCAGGTTCTATTTGGGTTCTCTTTAAACATGTTTTCCTTGAAGAAGTCCAAGTTATCTATTTATATATGGGACTTTCTCTAGGAAGACATGTTTAAAGAGAACCTGAATGCAATACCTGAATGAAACAGCTCATCACCTATTCCTTCAGGAATAGGTGATGAGCTGCTTCATCAGTCGAGTGTGAATTTCTTTGAGCTGTGATCAGAAATTGTGACATACATGTTCCCAAGTGTGCTGACCTTTTTTGAGGTCATTTTGAGCATATTATGTAATTATATAAAACTTGGAGAGTTTTCCTATGAATCAGTATGTCTCCCATACTGAAATCAGTTGTAACAAATTTTCTATCAGCTTTCCAAATGAGGGACATTTTTGTGCCGCACCATATAGTTTCTAGATATTCCAAGCAAAACAAAAAATTGCATGAAGGATCATATTTTTCTTATCTTGCCTCCTCCCCCTCTAAATGTGTAATGTGTGCTTGTCAGCATTGCATGCATAGAAAAATAATGTGGGATCAGCTATGCCCTTGGTGATATGGAGGCTCTTTCTTGTCAGCTTTTCTTGTTTACTTTTCTTATTGAAATTCTTATACTGTGGGATCAAGTGTCCTATGTTCTGTTTGAACTGGTTAATATTTCAGGTATAGAGATGCTGGGAGAGAAGTCATAGAGGTGCTGACACGTTTCACTGGTAGTGTTGAAAGAGCGAGCATTGATGAAGCTTATATTGACCTCACAGAAATGGTGAAGGTGGTGATGACAGAATCCTGTCATCTTGACCATAAGAGTCTACCAAGCACCTTTGTTGTTGGATATGATGAGGATGATTCAGAGGAAGGTATGGTATATGTGTCTCCTTGTGCATGGGCAGATACTGGAAAGTTGCATGTTAAATGATGAGAATGCCAGCTATGAAAGTTTTTTATGTGAAATAATAGAGAGAAAAAAACATGTTTGGTATTTTATACCTGGCTTATTCTCTTAATCTCACATTTGGTTATTCTAGCTGAAGAATTGCTTAACACTTTTGATCTGACAGACATAACTGTACATCCAGTCCTAACTACAATCGGACGATGGTGGATGTAATAGTATGTCCTTTTAAATTTTTATATATTGAAATAATTTATCATGATAAAATGGAGAACTTATACTTCATTTTCCAAAAAGGAGCAAATCTCTTATTATTTTGTGTTCTGAAGTTTTGAGTTTTTTTTTGGGCCTCAAAATAACCTCTGTCACCAACACTCTGGAGTAAAAGTGCTTATCATTTCAAGAAGTTGCATTAAAAATGTATGATTATAATACTTTATTTTTTTACTTTACAGTTATTAGGCAATGTCTGTCAAAGTTTGATCTGGGGGTTACCAAAAAGGTGTTGTGCAAATATTTACTTGAAAGTTTCTCCTTGCAGGTAGAGCAAGTAAAAGCTGAAATCTCCAGGATTCTCTGTTTGTATTGAAATTTCACACAATGAGATGATTTTTTATTGGAAAGTTTTATCTTGTTTTCAGAAATGTGTAATTCAGTGGGAATCTTGACAACTTATCTTTGACTTGCTCTGAATTAGCCAATATCTCAGTTTTCCCTATGACAAACAAGGATCTGCTGGAATCTATCTGGAAGTCGTTCCTTCCTGGATTTTCTAATGTGAATCAAGCTGTTTCTTGAACAATGCAAAGATTATTTGTTATGGACTAGGAGTACCATCATTATGAAAGTTGCAAAGGGATTCTCAGGTGGCTGACTCCCTTTTGGAGGTATATTTTGAAAGCTAATTTTTTTTGCTTAGGAAGGAGGAAAGGTTTGATGGAATGGTTGGCAAACTTAGACGAAGGAGGTGAATCCATAGAAGAAGACTTTGAAGTTAATAGATGCTTGGCTTTGGCTGCTATCAAGGTTGAGGAAATGAGAAAAGCCATATTTGAACAGACAGGATTTCGTTGTTCTGCAGGAATCTCTTTTAACAAAGTGAGTGGTGGTTTTCTGTAGTACCAGTAATCTTCAGTCCTATTGTAAGATACAGCTGTATAAGTCTCTTTTCAAGATCATAAAACCATAAGTATGTTGAAAGTCATATTTTAATTTTATTACAGGGCTGCTCATCCCATGGTTGTGCATTCATGCTTGAGTCAATGTTATAAATCTCAGTTGCAATTTCAAGGCATCATCATATCATTTGATGGACACCATTCATTAGCTTAGTACAGGGTGGGCCACTTAAAAGTAGCCCGCCTCTGGTCCGAGCGTGGCGGAGGTGGTCGCCCCTTGCACACTGTTCTTACTGTCGCAGTATTATAGGAGGCGGGCTACTTTTAAGTGGCCCACCCTGTATCAGCCAATACCCCAGTTGGGGTCATAACTTGTGGGATCCTCTGGTCTCTCTCATTCTTTGTCTTGGAGAGCCAAAACTTCTTCTTTCATCATCATTACCCGATCCTTGGAGAGTTCAACATCTGAACCTATTCAATGCAGCAACCATGTATGAGATGTGAAAAGTTTCAACTTCTTTATAGGCTTATAACTTATAGGCATTATAGGCTTATTTATTGAAGAAGTAATTTTCAAGATCTTGAGCAAAATATGTTTCCAAAGAAAAACCTGTGTGGTGCAGGCAAGGAAAGAGCCTTAAGTTTCTAATCTAAGAGTTTAAGTCTCCTGTTGGAGATCAAAACTGATCCTTCAAAGCACCTTGCATATGGTGGTCTGCCCTGCATCTACATGTTCAAATAAAATTTCATTTGCCACTTCAAGAATTTCCTAGAAGCCCATTCATATTCCTATTTCAATTACTTATTTTCTGCCTTCCCCACTCATTTCAATAATGACATCCAATACCAAGAGCAGCAATTTAAGAAAATTTTGGGATATCATGCTTTAGTTATATGAACAACCATCCTCATTGGTTTTATGTAAATTTTAGATTTAAATGTAAATTTTAGAGCTTAACCTTGATTGATTTGCTTTTTGGATGGAACATTGCAATAGAATGAAAGTAGTATTTTGCAGGTCCTCAGCAAGCTTGGCTGTGGCTTACACAAGCCAAACAAGCAGACTGTAGTGCCAGTCCATTCAATCAGGAACTTGTTTGAAGCCCTTCCTGTCCGCAAGGTGAGAAACCTTGGTGGGAAACTTGGGAAGAGGATTGAGGAAGAATTGGGATGTGCAACAATGGGTCAGTTGGCTGCTCTCTCTGAGCAGAGGCTTCAGGTCACCTTTGATGAAAAGATTGGGTAAGCATGCTATTCTTCTATGGATTAAAATCTGTCATCCTGTTGGAACACAATTATTGTATGTCACCTGTTTATGATTTCAAGGACATTTTGAATTTTTGTTCCTATAGATAGGTAAGAGATGAACTCTCATATGTTGTGTATTATGCAAAAGTATGGAACAGAACAGTCATGTAGTGAAAGTCTTTCATATGCTTGGCCTGTTTATCTCATGGAAAAACCTGCTAAGCTGGTTAATGGTCAATTATGAAATTTCAGATAGTAGGATATGAACTCTTAGATATGTTGCAAAGGTATATCAGGAAATCTCTTCTGTTTTCAAATGACAAGGGTCTCAGAACCACTATTTTAAGAAATTGTGAGAAATAAAAGTTGAATAAATCATACAAGGCTTGTCTGTGTCTGACTTTTATCATGTTTGACATGATAAAAATTCATTAATTACCATGATGTTTCTCCTGGGAAATAAAGGGAGGCATGAAAAGAAAAGACCATGTTACATTTTGCAGGCATAGGCATGGTATTATGGAAGTGTTTAAATCATATGAATATTCAATTCATTATTAATAAGTTCTCTGTCAAGATTTCAAAGCATTAGATAATTATGGCATAGTAATATGTATGATTTGGCTCTCATAAATGTCCAAATGTGATGTGACTACTGTTGTTTGAGACTTAGCCTATGCCTCTTCATATTCTGAGAGTTTTCCTTAATAACTTGGATTCAGAAAATAGTGTCCCAGCACTTTTGGTAGAGTTTAGCTTATGGTAGAGTTATGCTGGTAGTATGGTAGTATGATTTTCCATGACATAGTGAAACAGTATTTATGTGGAAAGATAGTGGCCGCTGGCCTACTAATGTATAACTTGCTGTAATTTTGGATAGTTTGGATTTTTGGCAAATAAATTTCACCAATGTAAAGTTTTTAAACTGAGGTGCTGGAATGACACTAGGAACATGATTTGTTGATTTCTTCCTGGAAAAAGTTAAGCTTCCTTATTCTGATTTTCTTCATTTCTTCCATCTAGCAAATGCAAAAGGGTTGTTTTACTTATTATAATCTTTATTACTGTAAAGTTGGTCAACTGGTCAATCTTGATTATGTGCATATTCACTCATCTGTCATTGAGGGGTTTCAGGACATGTAAGGGCTTTTCTTCCAGGGATATTCTATAGCATGTAATGGGTGTCCCACTTGAACTGGAAGCCACAAAACATGTTCTGTTGAAGCTGCAGAATAAGGGTAGAAATATGGTATTTAATGGAGACACCTTAGTGTTTGTAGCACATGGAATGGATCCAGCAAAACTGGCCTCCTTCCTCATCCTGGCAAAAAATGCAGATGGTCCCAATGTCTTCCTGGCACTGTTATGGATTTCCATGTTATTTAGGAGTTCATCCAGGGTGTATGGGCTGTTCTTTCACCCCTATAGATCTTTACCACAAAAAATTATCTGGAGGGAAAAGGTCGTGGGAATGCAGAGGCCAGAGGCCATTTGAAATCCACCTTTTGTGAAAGAACCTGCCTGGCATTGCTATACTTGTGGGAATTGGCAGCTCTGCTAATCAGAATGTAATATAGCTCAAAATAATTTTTTCTGACTATATGTTGTGAGGTTATCCAAAGGGTGTGTCAATCTACTCTTGAAAAATATAGATGAAGAAATCAATAACATGATCTAGGAGATATGCAATGAGAGCATAAAAGATTTGCATTGCTATATGCAATTGCATATGGATGGTGAAGTCACAACATTTGTTTGGTCCATGCTACATTTATCAATATATATCTCCATCAAATATCTAATTTTCATATTCTTCCAGTGTCAACAACAGTTTTGTGGGCTACATACAAAGTGGGACACTATATTCCCTGCAGTAAGTGCAGTTTTGTGTAGGATGCAAATTGAGATAATTTATTTCATTCTCGCCTGATCCTCTCAATCTAGATCTTGGCTGTATCTTCTGGCACAAGGGATTGACCAGGAACCAGTCCAGTCAAGGCAGTTACCCAAGTCCATCGACACCGGAAAGTTTTTCAGGGGTCCTGATGCCTTGGTCACTTATGATAAAGTATGTCTTCCATTTTTGCTAGTATGAGGTCTTGGAGCCTTATCATGGTCCATGGAGAGATTCTATGGAATGTGTACGTAGTGCAATTGCAAACAATAAGTTTGTTCAAAACAGCAGAAAAGCCTTTCTTATGTATGTACTACTGAAAGCAGCATTGCACTTCACTCTGTGCTAATGTTTGTGTTGCAAATCTGTTGCAAATCCCCCCCCCCCTCCAACCTTAGAAGGTATATTTTTGTCTGGCATCCATCAAAAGCAGCTGTGAGCCTAATTCACAGTTTCAGTATGTTTTGCTGATCTAGTACCCACTGACTTGTAGTTTTCCCTAGGAAAAGTGACAGAGCATCAAGCTTGTATTAGAAACTCAATAGATATGTGCTAATGCAGGGTGTCCACAAAATTACAGTAATATTTTACACAATGCCTTCTGCTTTGTTTTAGGTATCCACTTGGCATGTGGTCCAGTATGATATGATTTTTTCAAGCCTAGTTCAAACCTCAATTTTCTAGAAAATAATGGAAATAAGTAAATTAAATATTATTTTCAGGTTGTATGACTCATAATTGGTGTTTGAAGAATGAATCAAAGTAGTATAGTGGATAGTTTTTCCAGGTTCAGCAGCTGTACAGTGAGAAGAAGTTTTTTGAAGGTGAAGCCTCCAATTCATAAGCAGTTTGCACCCTGAAAAATAAGTTTCATGTAACAGTTTTTGTTATCTACTACTTTGTTGGCTTTTTTACATTTTTTATTTGCATCTTGTGGTATTTGAGATATGCTTTAAAAAAATTATTTTAAAATCTCCATGTCATATATGAATTACCTATCATGTTTTTGCTAATTTACCTCAAAGGAGGTAAATGAGGAGAGGTAATTTCTTGAAAATGTATCTTAACTTCTTGTTAATTGTCAGAATTAGGTTCATTATTAAGTTCTGAGGATGCTTTTACTGAGTATTGATGTCATTCTTTTCTTTTCTTTTTTTTCTTTTTCCAACATGAAGTGCATCTCCAGTTTTGTCCTCATAAAGACTATTGTTTCCTTGAAAGGTTTGGTATTGGGTTCAGCAGATGGCTGCAGAGGTTTCAGAGAGACTTAAAGCAGACCAAGAAAGAGTGAGTTCCATTGCTCAATCACACTATACATAAAAATCTGTAAATGAGAACACAGTAAGACTCATTCTCAGTTTGAAGTCTATCTCTATAACACAAAAAATAGCAATAAAAGTGCCTACTCAACTCTTGAATCATGACAGCAATAGCATTATTTTCTAATTCTATAAAGGTTACCATATCATATCAGATATTTCTGATTGTTGTGATGCTTTAACAAGAACTGGATGTGTTGACATGTATGGTTAGTGAGCATAATAATACCGGGTGGCCCAAAAAAAGTTCAGAACTTCGTGCAGCTGTAGACGGGACACCATGCTAAGCATCATCTTGAAATTTTCAGTGTGTCATACCCAATATAGGTAGGTGGCTTTAGGAAAATTTCAATGAAATTCCTTGCTCTGAACATGAGTTAGAGCTCTTTCCCTACAAGTCGTCAAATGAGCAGGTGTGTCATCGTGCTTGCTGGCAGTCATTCCAAGGAGGACACATCCATGGAGGACCCATCAAGCAGTTCTTTCATTGAGTTAAGGAACATTCCTTTGCACACCCGCTCTTTTGACATTACACAGGAGAAAAATTGTTACTCATGTTGCAACCAATTTCAATGAAATTTTTGTTACATTACCTGCAAACATTGCATGTAAAAACCTGTAAAATTCCTCTTGATAACTAATATGGTACACCATCTGCAGGTGTGTAAAGTTCAGAATGTTTTTTTGGGCCACCTGGTAGAATTGCTATTGAGGCACTGGAAAATGAGATGAAAAGATGTCTTTGTTTATTTTTTGTTCTGTTTCAGGTGATATTTATTTTTTGTTCTTTTGTATAGAAATTTTCCATTATGTTCTTGCTGGGTTATAGTCTTGGTCATATTATTGGTTGTTTTATGGGTCAATGATATCTGATGCTGAAAATGCAATCAGTTGTAAGTTAAGTTGTAAACTAAGTTGGAGATATAAAAGTAATCTCAAGTGCATAACAATAATAAAATGAGTAGGGCTCCATAAGAGTAAACTAGACATACTGCCATTTTTTGTCCAGAGATTTCCATTTTCATTCATTTGATTCATTACCCAACATTTAGCAGGATCTGCTGATGCTGATCCTACATATTTTTTGCTGATATCAATATGAACTCATTACCTTCATGCTTCATTGTTATAATTGTTGAAGGAGAGTTTCATTGCCTTGTCATATGTGTGGAGAAAGTGAAAAATCTCTTCTCTCATATGTAGAACAAAAGACGTGCAAAAACATTGGGTGTCCATGTGATACTATCAGAGAAGCGGAATCTGTCTGATGGTAGACATGTCTCCCGCTCTGGCCCTCTCTCATCCTATGATGTAGATCAGCTTGCCAGAGGTGCTTTCTCTCTTCTGAAAAAGCTCAATGAGTCTGGACAGAATCTCACTTGGTGAGTTTTGCAGCTCAATTAACCCATCTCGTTTTAATTATTACTTGAAATCCTCTTTTATTGATATTGGTTGATTGGAGCCCAGATATCACTAATGTTCCTTTGTTTAATGGATTTCACATGCCTATGCCTTTCTTGTTCATGAACAAGGAAGTCATATTAAATTCAATTTATACCAGTTCCATTAAGTGGGGTGACATGGAATGGCTCCAAGTATGGCAAAGGAATGCTGTAAAATTAGTGTCTAATTTTCCTCTGATTATCAGTGTTTAGTGGGAGTTGCATTTATAGGAATTTCTTGATGCAATTTCATAATATCTTAATTTATTACAATTTTTTTTTCAGCTTTCCAATTCAAGAGATGAAGCAAAGTGGAAATATAGTGCAAATGCAGCATGTGGGTTACCATAGAAAAGTAGGACTGCTGTAATGAACTATTGATGATGCTACAGTGGTTTTTTTTGTTTAGAGTCAGACAATTTTCACTTGAACACTTTTGCATGGGACATTCCTTGTGCCTAATTGTTGAAGTAAAGTTAAAAATAATGTCTAACAAGTGAAAAATATTGTATTGATATTTGTATCCTCCTATAGTTTTATCAGCCATTAATAACAAGAAACATAGGGAGACAGGCCCCCTGATAATTATGAGAGGTGGTGAAAGGGGACCCCTTCAATCAATGATCATGGCAAGAAAGAACAATAGATCCCACTCCCCCCTCAGAGATGACCTCAAGGTTGCTGCTTGAGTCATTCTAATAATTCCAATAATTCTCACCTATTTAAGCTCCCTTGGGTAATTTTCTTAGGCATACTGATTTGAATGCAAACAAAATGAACCACTATCTGGTCAAGTGGACATCTTTCAAGTGCTCATAATGCCTGTTCTAATTACCTTAGAAAGATGAAGTTGGTGTTGATTGTATAGCTATTTTAAAGCATGATATATAACATGAATCACAGAGTTTGAATGGAAACAAGGTTCAAAGTCTAGTGGTCTGACCTTTGAATTGCAGAAAAAGGTCATTTAAAAAAACTTATTCTTCTAATAAATTTGACATTCTCAATCTACCTTATATTGATACACCAGATTTAAATTTGGGATTGCTGTGGAATCAAAATACAAACAATCATAAAAGGACAGCAAACCGATCAAACTTGAAGGGGGTCTGGTCCATTTTTCCTTCTTGTTTTTAATTGCCATGTAATGAACTACCTCCTTCCCTCTAATTGGCCACGACCAGAGTTAATTCCTTGATAGTATCACCAGCATAAATCACCCACTGACTTGTGCAATATTGTTACAGTGAAATTGATTTGGATTTAATTCTTTAAAAAATCCTCAGAGTTGAAAATTAATACACAAGGTTAAAGAGTATGTCCCCCTCCTCCTCTGTGGCATTCAGGGGCAGTAAAAAACTTCCCAGTGCGTCTATGCTCCATCAATAGTTCTTTTCAATGATGTGTTTTGTGTTTTCAAAGTGAACATCATGACAACCCTATTGAAAAGTATTGCTTTTCCAGGAGCCCACCAATCACAAGTCTTGGCCTTCATGCAGGAAACTTTGAACCATTTGTGATGCAGAAAACAACAATGAAGAACTTTCTTCTAAAAAAACATGTATCAGTAGCAGGTGAAAATGAAGAAGCTCAATCTCAACTTTCACATGAACAGAACTGCGAAAATGAAGGTTCCCCCTTCAAGATACCAACAACATCATCAACTGCTTTTTCTTCTCCTTCTTCTTCACTACGGGCAACTCCATCTGTACCCCATGAAAGTATTGGAAAGAGAAAGCTGTGGAACTTTCAGCAGAAATCCCCAGACATTGAGGGCAATGACATTAGAGCACAAATTAGAGAAATTTTTCCTGATCTAACTGCCATTGATGATGAAGTGCTTGCTCTTCTCCCACTAAGAATGCAAGCAATAGTTCAAGAAGAAATCCAGAAATCAAGGGCAGCAGTGGGAGAGTGTTGTTCCATGCAAAATGGTGGACTTTGGAAGTACCTCAAGCGAGGTGATTCCAACATACAATCTGATTCCATAGAATCTTCAGTCTGTGATAGATGTGGGAAGGCAGTGGCACAGACTCAGAAAAGGGAGCATCAAGATTTTCACATTGCTCAAGACCTGCAGAAACAGCTCAATCAAAATGATCATAAAACAAGCATTAAAAAAGCAGAAATTCTTACTAGCCCCCAGAAAGACAAGACTCCTAAAATCACTTATTTTTTTAAACGATGAAAGGATCTGCATCTTATTTTCAAACCAGACCATTCTCTCATAAACTTTGGAGAAGAAAAGCAAACTCTTATCTGTATCTGCAAATATTGCCTCACTGCATCCATTTAAAAAATGTTATCCTCTTTTTTTTTGGAGAGGCTTTTATGCAGAGGACAGCATAACTTGCTTAGTGAATTTGATATGTTATCAAATAAAAGGTTATATTTTTCTCTAGGTGGTCTGTGATCTCTTGGGTGATTTTCAGATCATTCATCTTCTCTTACAGTACAAAGAAGTGGTATTAATAAAAAGTACCCTTCCTATACAGAAGCTTGGCAGCTAGAATGGCTGGTCTGTGTATTACTATGAAGCTTCTTTATTTATTATTTAATTATATAATGTGGATTATTTTTTTATGATTGTTACTATTCCCCCCCCCATTTTTTTTTCTGCTTTCCTTGAATGTTCTCTTATTACCATACGTATAGATGCTTGATAATAACTTTTCAATGCCATCATTATTTTGTTGTATCACTGGTTTCTTGGAAGAAGTTTTTAGGGAATTTGAGGGTAAAAATGATGTTGAACATGTTTGAAGACTGTTTATTTTTCTCCTAGGGTGCTGATATGCTGCTGGAAGTTCATTTATAACCAGGTTATGATCATGAAGCTTTGTTAATTGGAATGGTGATGGATTGGGATTGTATCAGAATGTTTCTACAACTGAGTTGAATATGCTGTCTTTATTAGTTCACACAAATTCATAGTGTTTGTAATATATTATATGAAGTGTCATGCAAGCCTCTACTTGTCCAGTGACACCATGAAAAAGACTAGAAAACCTGTAAAAAATGCAGGGACTCTAAGAGAGGGATGCCCAAGTGGAAAAGAGGCCATCCTAACTTTCGACATACCAGGAATGGTGCATTTTTTACATCATTGAAGCCTTCTCCCAGAAGAAACCAAGAAGTATCTATCCAGAAGGTGCCCAGGTCTCCCAGAAGGAACCAGGAAGTGCAACAAGTTCATGAAGTAGAACAGCAGTTCCATGATCAGCAAATTTTAATTTACTCTAGAGAATCATCATTGTCCTCATCTCCACAGAATCACCCTGCTTCTCTCCATTCTTCCCCTGAAGTAATTCAAATAGAGGAATCTAGTGAAGAAGAAAATGGACAAGAAGTCTCATATAGTGAAAATGATGAAGATGATGAATCAGCTGAAGAAGAAACTGGACAAGTAGTCTCATATGGTGAGAGTGATGAAGACAAAGAACCTGCTGAAGAAACTGAGCAAGTAGTCTCACATAGTGAGAGTGATGAAGACAATGATTCTGCTGAAGAAACTGAGCAAATAGTCTCACATGGTGAGAGTGATGAAGACAATGAATCTACTGAAGAAACTGTACAAGTTGTTGCATATAGTGACAATGAAGATAAAATATTTGAGCCTAGAATGAAAGATGAAATGAATGAATTTTTATCTGAGGATTTGAGGACAAAGATGTGGACTTATTGTCAGTCACAAAAGGGCCATCAGTTATAGTAAGCAAGAATGACAGACAGAATTATTGTCCTTGTGGACATGGACTGCTTTTATGTCCAAGTGGAAGAGAGACTCAAGCCTGAAGTGAAAGGGAAGCCTGCTGTGGTCGTCCAGTACAGAGCATATAAAGGAGGAGGGTAAGGAAAAGATTGCAGTAGGATTGCTTTCTTGTGTATGGCATGATCAGTCCTGGGAAAGTAATGTGTTGCTGCTATCAGATTACATTCAACTGTAATGCATGGAAGTAACTTTTTTTTTCCTGGCAGTAATCAGACTACTTTTACACCTGGAAAGTAACATGATGGCATTCCATTTCCTTCTTGCACAAATCCCTGAATGGCTGTTCCTCTCCACCTGCAACCCCTTTTGATCCTTCACTCAGCACATCTCACCCTGTTGGGTGTTTATATCACCCTCCTACCCCAGTGCAGGAAATTCAACTTTTGAACCCTTACCCATATGAACTCAACTGAGAAGTGGAAAGTAATCCAAGAGTAATTGAGTACTGATTACATTTCAAAGAGAGCAATCTGATCACTTTCAGATTATACTTGCTCTAAAGGAATCAGTTATTTACAGATTACCTTGTAAAAGTAACTTTCCCAATACTGTTGATGTGGTAGTAGTTGATGTAGTTTAATAGCTAGCATGCTATTCTGGTAATTATTTCAGTATTAGCAGCCAAAGATTAGGGGAGCTCTTCTCACCTTATGAATGTATATTGCTGTGGTGTTTGAATGGTCTTTTTTTTTCTCATGCATTTAGAAATCCTAATTTCTTTTATGTGGCACACAGGATCATAGCAGTAAATTATGAAGCAAGGGCACTTGGAATAAACAGAGGGATGATGGGAGATGAAGCTAGGGCTAAGTGCCCTGAAGTCCACCTTTTTCGTGTTCCTGAAGTTCGAGGCAAAGCAGAGCTCACCAGGTTAGTCATACTTTTACTCCCTTGCCATTTTTTATTTTTAACCCATATTGTAGATGTCAAGTGTTCTTTGTGTGAATTCTATGCTTTGGGGTGGGTGTCCATGTGTTTTAGTCTGCGTAACACTTTGGCTGCCATGTCAGTCTCTTTTGACTGACACACCAATACATATCAAATACAGCAAAATTGGTCCAGTAGCAAAAGTGCAACATTCCAACAGCAACAAAATACCATCTTGTGATGTGAGGAAAGTGAATCAGTAATTTGATATATTTTCTCCAAGTCTTCCATAATTATTGCCATAAAGGATTAATTGTAATTATTTAGGTGAAGGATGGGTGAATATAGGAAAGTTGATGTTGAACCTCACATATCTTCTCAACATGAGGTGGCTTTTCCTTCATCTTGAAAAAGTTGAGAAGCAGTTTTGGAGGCATAAATAGTTCAAATCTGAGTGCTCATTCATGACCAGAATAAACTTAAGACTGTTATAGCCATAATACTCAGATCTCAGGAAAGACAGGTCCTCAGTATCACCTTATTTTCCTAGCAGAAATTTTCTATCATCATTTAGAATGTTTGATATCTTCTTGTTCATATGCTTCAATTTTATAATAAGGATAAGAACTTAAATATATGTATTAATATTAATGAACCTGTACTTCTTCCTTCCTTGAACTTTCAAGGTACCGTGATGCTGGTCGTCAGGTCATCCAAGTTCTTGCTGAGTTTTCGGGCTGTGTGGAGCGAGCCAGTGTGGATGAAGCCTACATTGACCTGACAGAGGAAGTAGAGAAGAGATTGAAACAAGAGAAACTTGTGACTGCTGGAGAACTATCTACAACTTTTGTTGTAGGATGGGAGAGTGAGGAAGGTGAGCATTTAGTTTGTAACAAAACATATTCACTTGTTCTTCCAATATAATTTTGGGACTGAGGTGTTGTGCCAGAGCATTGCCTGCACCAGACCATTCAACCCATTTCTTATACATGAAGTAAGAATCCTTCTGAATTGAAAACAAGCATCAGTCATTTTGATTCACCCTGTTGCAAATGGAGATTGAAGCATTGCCAATTTAAAAAATGTTAATCTAATAAACTTTCAGCTCTTTGAGTCATCAAATTTTAGTCAAGAGGTGCCTGCTTTTCTTGAGATGAGCACCTGAAACGTTGTGGTGAACAGGTGGTCATCAGTAGTTTGTAAACCTATGAAAATATTCATAGGATGATGGGCTCATGAAATTGGTCTGAGTCATGAAGTACATCATTCCATTGGCCTTCTTCCTTTGTAAATTTTCATTGGATACCATGTATACTTTGAGGAGTTATCAAAGAAAAACTGTGTTTATTGATTTGAAAGGCTGATTGTTTTAGTTTTTAGCAATGCCACCAAAATATTGAAGTGGTGAGATCAAATGCAGCATAAGAAGTGTAGCTATTACATAAGTTTTTTTTAAATGATAGATTCTTTATCTTTTACTTCTGGGGCATCCAGACTTGGCTTAGAACTAGCAAGGTATGAATAAAATAAATTAGCATAGGTCTTATTCCATTGAGAACAAATTTGACCTGGGGTACCATTGTAGAAGGTGGAGACTGAAACATTGCCATTAAGCCTAGAGCTAGTTGTTCATGCATGAAGGTTTTTCATTCACACCATATTAAAATCCATTGAGATCAAACATTGGGTAACTTTTCAAAATTTTGAGACTGACCCTAATGGTATGCAGATATATCTGATTTATTTTTATTTATGAGATATAAAACAGTGGGTTGTTTATGTTTTACAATTTTCAATTACAATATAAACTTAAGTATCCCCATGCTCTCAAGTGAAGAATCTAGCTTTTATTTTCTGCAAAAGGATTTGTGCCATATTAGATCTCACTACGTCTACTTTATTTTGTTCATTTCAAATTGGCCAAAGTTAGTATTTTTAAGCAAATATGAGACAGGAGTGTACTTTCCAACTCTCACAAAACCCCGATCAATGTTCCATGAATATTGCATTATTTATGTTGCAGATGAGACCGGAGTGGCTCGATGGCTCAACTCCATTGATGAAAGCAGCTCCTGTAGTGACACAGATCGACGACTTGCAATTGCAGCCCACATTGTTGAAGAAATGAGAAGAGCCATTCTTGAGAAGACCAGCTTCAAGTGTTCAGCTGGCATTTCCCATAACAAGGTAGGCCAATTATTCTGAATTGCTGGACAGGGACCACATTAACAAAGTACATTGAGTCCTTCATTCACATTTTTGCTCCTGGGACATGATTCATGAAAGTTTCTGAGTACCAGGGACAGTTGGGTAATGGAAATATATACCCTCTCTTTTCATAGATGCAACTGCCCTTCTGATTCAGTGAGTTTTTTCTTTTGTAATTTGGGATGGCAGTTATTATCTGGGATATATGATCTTCATGGGACTGACTGGGAATTTCTAAGTCCAGAGAGGAACAAAGAAAGGAATATTAAGAGAGCTCATGGAACAGATTACAGGCAGAAGAAAGAAGAGGGGAAGACTCTTGACTTATGTCACTACTGCATGACATCAAGGATGAAAAATAAGAAGATTGCATTTGAGAATGAGGAATGATGGGAGTAGTCCAAACTGCAATTTCATCCCAATTCTGATGATACCATTAAAGGCAGTAACATGCTGGTGTCCGTGCATTTCTGGCCATGTAGTCAGTGAAGATCTACAAAAAGGAGTTGAAAAAGTTCCCAGACTTTCACAAATAATGGGACATAGAAAACTGGGAGGTCAATGGAAAAAGTATGTATTGCTTTAGTTTCTTTATGTTGACAAGGTGCAAGTGGACTATTGCTCCAAAGTTCAGTTGTGTGTGTCATATTTGTGGAAGCCTTTTCAGTCCCCATTTGTTGAAGTCAACCATGTGTTGTCAATGTCATCAAGAATCAGACATTCAATAAGCTTTGTAGTTTCAAGAGGAGGCTCGAGTTAGCTGGTCTATAAGACTAGTATCCCCATTTATTGAGTCTCAAAGTAAGGGGTGTGCTGCAGAGAAGCCATCCTCTGTTCTGATAAAAGAGATTGAACACCATCATCAATATAGCCATTTGTGGATTTTTTGAGTTTCTCAAGCAGTTACACTGTGGTTAGTGGCTGAAAAGAGGGACTTCAGGATTATCACTTCTTCATGATGTTGGGAACTAATTCTCCATCCTTTCCCTCTGCTTTTAGTGTTCTTTTAGAACTTGCCAAATTTTACATTGTTGGCAAGTTTTGTAATCTCATCCCCCTCGTCGTGGTGGCTTTGGCTTACTTACAACCAAGACCTCTTAAACTTATTACTCTTGAGAGGGGCTTTTTGGCATCCACCTCAGCCACTTGTCCACCTAACTGGATTGAGAACACCAACTTCAAGGAACAATGTGAATTCCCCCTGAGAATGTATTTTCTGTAGGAGGGGTGTAAACAGATGGTTGATCCCTCTAACTTTTTTGGCTTGCTTTTTGTAACTATGCTTTTGGAATTACTTTATTAATTCTTGCATACAGTATTTTGCATGATGTTTTAGATGCTGAGCAAGTTGGCTTGTGGTCTGCATAAGCCCAATCAACAAACAGTACTTCCAATGGCTTCTGTGTGTGGCCTTTGGGAAAAGACATTAATCCATAAGGTTAGAAACCTTGGTGGAAAGTTGGGACAAATGTTGGAGGAGGAGATGAACTGCAAGACCATGGGTGACTTATCAAAGCTTTCTGAAAAGGAACTTCAAAACAAAACTGATGATAAAACAGGGTAAGTTGGCTCTGAATGATGTCCTGTGCTGATATTCCACTGGTGTGTAGAGCACCAATTCTCAAGCTTTTCAGGAAGGCACCCCCTCCTAATAACATAGTATTACACCTCCTTCCCTTCTGAGAACATTACCCAAACACGAGTCTACGACAAAGTTTTAATGGAGTTACCTCCTGGATATATTTTTATTATGCAATGAATGAAAATAGAGCTGAAGCTATTAAATTAATAGGCCACTGAAAGCAATATGATGAGCTGATCATCTTCTGAGTACAAAATTAAGTCTTGGCCTGATGGTGGAATAGGAACACAAATCTCATTTTGCCATCCAGACAGGATCAATATTTTGTCTTCATTGCTGCTACTGCTGAAAACCCAGTCTTTTGCTGGTAAGATGAGGAAAATAGGACATATTTCATGACTCTGACATGTAGCAGTTGGTATGTCTTTGATGCTTGACCATGAGTTCTTCTGGGGTTTTGATTGGAAAGGACTACCAGAGGGTGCCATTGTGGGAGAGCTTGATCCTAATTATGTATATCTTTAAATGTGTTGGGACATTTTGCCCCGCTTGAAGGACCAAGGTCTTTGAATCTCCCTTTTGTCTTTTCAAATATTTTTCTGTTGGAAATCTAGGCAGCCACACTACAGTAATAATCCAAGTTATTACTTAAAGGGATAAATAATCCAGAAGTTCAATATAGACTTCAGAAGTAGCATAAGCTGCCCTGCTTGGGCCAGCAAAATGGGAGAGCATATTGTCCAAAAGCAGTGAGAGTGGGGAACCAAGTACCAAGTAGAGGAACCAAGTTGTTCTTGTTCTTGAGTTGCTCCAAGTGAGCTCTTTCCCTCTGCTTAAATCTGCCTGGAGTGCCTCAACTCAGCTGAGAAAATATTTTGTCTTCATTCCAGTAACTTATCATTAAATAACATGAGTGGCATAATATTTCAAAATGCTAGTTAGAATAAACTTCAAAGAAGCTAATATAATATTTAAAAAAAACTCTAAGTCCAGTTGTTCCCTGGGACCCTTTCATACCTCTCCTTGGGAGCTGAGTTGTATTTCCCCTTTTAAGAACTGTTGACCTAGATAGTAATATCCTAATGTCTGATGGCATCTCTTGTTTTTTCCTTTCTCTTATATGGTTTTTCCCCCCTCTTTTCATTCCTAGCATGTTGTAATTTCCTGTAAGGGACTGCCACTATGTATCTGCACCAATATTTAACCAACCTCAATTCTCTACACATAAAAGAAGAATAAAGATGAGTATGATATTATAAGAATACAAACACTGCTCAATGGAACACCCACTTCATTCAACTGAATACACACCAGAGTCACTGATTTGGTGCAGTTTAGTTCACACAGCACTCATAAGTTCTTGGACGTAGCTTTCAGGAATGTCCTTGCTCACTTTCTTTGCTCTGCAAGATAATTCACACAAATTTTCAGCAGGGATTTTGAAGAGGCCTAGCTGTCAGTTGATTTCTGCCCAGTAGCACTCAACTGGTCTTGCCTCTGGGAGATTAGTGGGGTTGTCTTTTTTTTCCACAATCTTTATTCCCATGGATTGAAGATGCTGTGTAATGGTGTTGGCTTGCTTCTTAATACATTCCTTGAGGTAGCTTACCTCAAGCAATGTATTAAGAAGTGTCTCATCCCCTTTCTCAACAAGAAGTATCCCAATGGGGATTCAGGTTGAGAGGGGAAGACTCTCCTTGGTATCTAATAGAATAAAGAGTGGCACAGTGGTTCCCAAGCCTCCTTTTACTCACATTGAACCTACAAACATACAGTGGGTTGTAACCAAACCCTCAGTTTGGAAACCACTGGAGTAGCAAACATCTAACAAGGGGTTGAGTGATCTGATATTGAATACTGGCAGCAATGTCCACACTAAATCACAGTCTATACTTAGTTGGATTTCACACCCTGTAGATGTGCTAGTGGGGTACATAGGCATTCATATAGATCATTAGGTTTTCATTGGGTCCAGGGCTGGAAGGAATTTCAGCTTTACCCCCAAGAACTACAATAAGTCAGCTAGAGTACACAATATCAAGTTGACTCCCTGACTCCCTGAAATGTTGTAGCGTAAGCTCTGTAGATCCTACCTGCTGAATTATTCACCTGACTCCATATACCTTCATTGAAGTATGACTGAATCACTAGCTAAACACTGTGATACTGAAGAAATGAGAGTAAGAGATAGGAAGCACTAAAATAAAGTAGCCAGGACAGGCAATATACCTTCATTGAAGTATGACTGAATCACTAGCTAAACACTGTGATACTGAAGAAATGAGAGTAAGAGATAGGAAGCACTAAAATAAAGTAGCCAGGACAGGCAATAAAAGCTTACATAAAGCTATAAAGTGTGCCTCTAATAATATCAAGGTTGTCTTTGCTGAATATCTCATGGTAATAAACATAGGCATAAGCAAAGGTCAATTCATCCAAAATAAGATGAACCATTGGTGAAACTGATGTCATTATATTTGAAAACAGTGACCCCCCTTTGTTTTCCTTTATCTTTCTTTTATATTTTTGTGCCTTGCTTGTAACAATTTATATATATTTCAACCAGTGGGGCATTCAAAATTGTAGGAAATTGATTCAGTGTTCAAATGGGAACAATTTTAAGTTATTGCTTCTCAGCTTCATTCATTCAGGCAAGAATACATTTTAGTTAAGGTATAATGGAGTATCTCCTTGTTTTTAATTTTGGAAATATTGCATGACATACTTCACAGTGTGTAATGTTTAGGGAGGGGATTTTTATGCAAATGCATATTTTTCTGCAGCCTCTGTGGAACATGCAACCCAGTAGGGATCATGTCTTTTTGGTAGAGGAGGCGATTTCTGCCATTTTAAAAACACATAAAAATATATATTTGGGTTTTTCTCAGCATCTGCATATTTACATGTATATGTGCATATTTATGCATGTTTCATATGTAAGAAATTATGGTTTTTCAGGGAAATTTGCTTTCTTATTGAGCTAACAATGACAATTTTCCAGTGTTAATATGCTATGACCAGTAGTGTAGGAGGGGGGGGGGGGGGGGGTTGCAAAGCTCCCTAATTCTGCCCTAAATGCATCTATTACTCCTGAGAAGTTAAAGAACTCCTGGTCCCTGTTTGTTTTCTTTATCCCTCCATTGGCAAGTTCCTGGCTTTGCTGCTGGCTGTGACAGCAATAGATCAACTATACCCAGTAGAAGCATGAAATGTAGACTAAAGTTCCTTCTTCCAAAAAATTTGTTCTGCATTAAAAATAACTAATGTTTTTGCATATTTTTCTGCATGCTTGCACATTTTCGCATTTTAAAGTGCATATGTATGTGCATATTTTGAACTTATTAGCACATAAAAATCTGCTCCCTAGTCATGTTGTAGGTTTTCCCTTCAAACTGTATGTTTGAAAATGGGTTCATTGATGCTTTCATTACTATTCCCCTCTTATATATTGTTTCTCTTTCTCATTCCTTGGAAAGAGGCCTTAGTATGTGTTTTTTTCTATTTCTGGTCTCTTCTTAAGGTCCACTCCTAATCTAATTCATTGTTATATTAGATATACTGTTATGTTGTGGATATGAAAGTAGAACTCTGTCATTATGTAAAGAGGAATCTTGAGTAAATTTTTCCATTCTAGGTCCTGGTTGTATGGATTGGGAAGAGGTATTGACAATGAACCTGTTACAGATCGACACCTTCCTCAATCGATTGCTTGTGGAAAATTTTTCAGAGGAAGAGAATCCCTCACGACTGCAGAAGAGGTAACCATTTGCTTTGTTAATCCAATGTTATTCCTTAGACTGATCCATTTTGGAATCATATGATTCTAGTAAAATTTAAAACATTCCTCCTATTTAACCTAGAGTTGCATTCCTCAGTCTTTGAATTACAATGTTGTGAAACATCATAATTGTATTGTCACAAGGGTATGTAAAGGTGGAGGTTTCCCAAGCCTGTGTAGCAATATAATTGTTGTAAGGTGTATCATAAAGCTCCATTTCCCTTAACTTTATTCTTTATTACCATCAGTCCGAAATACATGAATCCCAGGCCTGAGTGTCAACTTAGGAGCAGTTCTAATAGGATGAAAATAAACAAAATTTGAAATGGAACCTAAACATTAAATGCACATGCAATTCCAATCAACTGAAAGTTTTCATATGTTACTCTGGCATTTTGGAGTGTAAGAGCATCAAGCAAATCTTTGTCTTTTGATTGGGCAGACTCCAGGTTAAGGTATTATTCTTAAATATGGCAAGCAGTTTACTGTTGTTTTTGGATTTGAGTTGCATGGCTTGCTTAGCACTTCCCATGAAGCCCTAAATTCTTATTGTAAGCCTTTATATTTACAAGGGGATATTGAAAAATTCATGAACTAAGGTTCTATCTTCTATAGTGGAACATCTCGAATTTCAGTGATCTTCTTTTTGGAGTGCTGACCTTTCTTGGCAGCTAGTCCACAAATTTCTCATTATCTTCTCGTAGTTCATCTATTCCAACCTGGGGTTGGAAGGGATAAAGAAAGAGGCAAAGGAAATCTCAAGACACACTCACCTCAAAGAGTGTATGGAGAGGGCAGGAATGGAAAGTTTGAGTATTTATGACCAGCAGGCTTTGGAGCCACCTAAAATTCTCTTTGTTCCCATTCACTCTGATTTAGTAACTGTGGGGCAGAAATCTGACTACTCAGGGCTTGAACTAATGCACTAAACTTATTCATATCTGTTAATCTTGTGATACTGCAACTTTCGGACCTTCAATGCAATCAGCTGTTCATGTTGAAATATCCCATGTTCAAAGGGTGATGTCATTTTCATGCAGCATTTAGTGTAACTTGAGGCCAGACACTCATGAACCCCTTCAAGTCTATAGAGCTCAGTTAACACATTTGCTGCTGATGATGCTCGTTTCTATGGAAAGGATAACAATGAGGTGCGTCATCAGCAGCGAATGTGTTAATAGAGACCTAAAGGGGTCAAATGACAAGTTGATTTGGAGGATGAATTCCATGCTCTTTTGCCTTTTTATTTCCCCTCCAAATAGGTTATGTTATCTTCAGGTCCCTCATACACTCTCCCAGCCATTGGGAGAATGTACGAGGGACCTTGGCAGGGATCTCTTGGCAGCTTCCTTTCACCTGAATTCAATGGCTGGCAGCTGTGAACACACTAGTGCAATGAGCAGAAGGAAGAGATTGAAACTTCTGGGAACTGATATTTGGCTCTCCTGCATATGAAGTTTCTATTATTCCAGGTTCAGTTTTGGGTGTCACAGCTAGCAGATGAAGTTTCAGAGCGACTTATTCAGGATCAGGAAATGGTGAGTGGGAAATTTATGCTGGTGAACCATGTTTGAGTCTCTAGGTGGCCTAATTATATGAATGCTGTTAGAAGGATTGCACATTTCTCATGCAACAAAGTCACTCATAGGTTTTGCAATAAAATATGCACTAAGAGGCTTTATTGCCATATCCACGCTACTGATTTAAATGAGATAAAGAATAATAAACAGGAGAGATACTCAGGAGAAGGGAAGCCTGGTTTTGATTTCACTTTTGTCTGTACATATATCTTTTTGTGTGACCTTCTGACACTGGCATTGCAAGAGTGCACATTTACTGAGTTTTATTTGGAAATTTTTTAGGGATTACCTAGTTTTCAAAAGAAAGAGGGACTCTTGTGTGAGATGCATAGAACCCAACATTTTTCTGTATTCTAGAATAAGAGAAGAGCAAAAACACTGACCCTGATGCTTCACATGGGTGGAGATAATCCTCAGACTGTCTCCCGCTCATCTCCCTTAACATCTTATGAACAGGAAGCCATTTCAAGGATAGGCTACAATGCTGCCCTTCGATTCAACAAAAGCACAAAGAGTGCATGGTAAGATCTGAATATTCTCTTTTACTGTCACTCCACTTCACTTTAAATATTCCATTAAAAGGCAAGTATTACATGCAGGGCCACCCAGAGGTTTCCAGGGGCCCAGGACAAAAATAAACCAGAGACCCCTTGGGGGCCCAGGGCAGATTGCCTCAATTGCCCCCCCCTCTGGGCAGCCCTGATTACATGTTGACCTTGTTGGAGTGTTTTCAAGCCTGTTGGATATGTTCTAAGCTCACATATTTATATCTGCTTGTGGAGTTTTACTTTAATTTTTAGTTGTTTTTAAACATTGCAGGAATCCACCTGTCACAGGAATGTTTCTCACTGCATCCAAGTTTGAGGAGGAAAGCAAACAAGCTGGTGCCATACAAAAATTTCTCCAAAGAAAGGAGCACATGCCTGATGATGAAATTCTACCAGTTGTGAAGAGTGAGGTTCTAAAAGACACCATGACTCTCAAATTATCAGGCGAGGCCCTGAAATCCCAAGTGGCATCATCATCTTCATCAAAATTTGGTCACGATGTGGAAGCTGGCACATCATTTCATGACTGCACTCCTGCTAGGCAGGCCTCTGTGAGCTCTTTTTTTGAAATGGTGAAGAAACAGAAAGCCGCCAAGGAGGTTCAGTCAGGNGGGCCCCCCCCCCCCCCCCCCCCCCCCTCCCCACTACTTTACGCAAATATTTTAACGTTAATTTCCTCCTAGGGCCCCCTAGAAGAGTGGGGCCCGGGGCTACAGCTGCTTTTGCCCATGATCATGTTTCCACAGTATACAAAACCACATAGCTGCTGCTGTTAGAGCTTAAGAAGGGCCTGACTTAGAAAAAGGCTATAACTGGCTCATGAAACGCGATATTTCATTAGTCGCAAGAATGAATGCCAAAATGTAATAATCGTATAGAGCGCTATAAATACTGGAGGCCAGTTCAAGTGTGAAAAAGGAGCGTGAAATTCGAAACACGTAATACAGAGCTTTTGGAGGACACGGAAGAGAAGGACTTTTGGAGATAACGATCACAGCATTCGAGTGAATAGGAGATGAAGCTATGTGGGTGGTGGGCACGATAGACAAAAAACGGAGGATGCCAAAGACGGGAAACGAGAATCGACAAATGGAAGGAGAGACGGGTTAGTTGAACGAGGTCGATGATCGGCGAATGCGTCTTGACCTTCCCCTAACGAAGGCCGAGGTAACGTTTCGCCCGATGCAGATCGATGATCGACACTCTTGCAGAGAGCCTGCGAAGGTGAGACGAGGCAACGTGGCAAGCCCCTCCGACGAGCCGAAGACACGGTCTAGCATCTGGCGAGAAACGCTCTCGGTCGAGAAGAGTCCTACTCTTAACCGATGACCCAGTCCCTAAGCAAATGTTCCTTTAGTACTCGTTTCTCCTCCGAATCCCTCTTGATCCTCTAGGACAGTGGTTCCCAGACTTCTTTGAATCACGACCCACTTCCTGACGTACAGAGAATTTCGCGTCCCACCCGAGTCCAGAAATAGGTTTTTTTCAAAGTAATTATAACGTGAAGAAAACCGATCGAACTTTTCTGCAGGGCATGTTTTATCCTGAGCGGATGCGGATGCTGTGATTTTTTTTTTATAGAGGGAGAATGTACGCGACCCACAGTTGGGGAACCGCTGTCCTAGAGCAGCGGTTCCCAAACTGTGGGTCGCAAAGGGCTTCAAGTTGGGTCGCGACAAGTTTCCCACGATAAAAAAGCAATATCCGCATGTGCCAATCCCAAGTAATGGGATTAGCTCGACCCTTGCACACTTCTATTGATACCTGCGGGCGTCCCCTCCTTCCTTCTCCTTCCACCTTGCTCTCGATTCAAAGAATATCCCCTTTCTCGTACAGGCGACACGGGCGTTGCTTCCCTTTGCTATCATATATCTGTGTGAAACATGATTCTCTGCTCTGGCTTCGATAAAAAAAAATTTCGTTTGCAGCTGCAATTGGAGAACGATCTCCGACTCGCCTTGGGAAAGATTTCTCCCAGAATAGAACACCTCTGCAAAGTGCCCAAAACGCACGTCATGCTCAGAATGAATCAGACACTACAAAAAGATCTGAGTTCTTGCCATAATTAATTTTAAAAGACCTCATTCTGGATTGCGGTGGGTCGCGAACTTTTCTGGGCGTCAGCAAGTGGGTCGCGGTTCAAAGAAGCCTGGGAACCGCTATACTAGGAGAGCCCCCCCCCCC